GGAGGGGAAAAACAAAAAAACTGAGTGGCAAACCCGGAGGTCAAAAGGGTTTAAAAAAAAACCCCCAAAAAAAAAAAAAAAAAAAAAAAAAAAAAACAACTGTTGTAAAAACTAAAATCAGCAACCGTTAATAGGAAAAAAAAAAGATTAGACTCACCAAGTAAATGGGGAAATCCACATGAGTTGAGTTATTAGGTGAACGATTCAGTCACCCTGCTCGCAGCAGCCCGGGGTGGCTAAAAATCACAGACAGTCAATGCAGTTCAGAGAAATCAAAGTGGGAATTTCGCTAGTTGTAAAGATAGCAATGCTAATTCGCTAACCAAACCGCATAACTGCCCTACCCAAACACATAACAGTCTAGCTTGCTTCAAGTCTTCCCTATTTCTCCACATTAACGATATTCGTCTCTGTCGCCTGTGCTGGCTGCCGAGGGCGGCAGGAATAACAACAATTTAAAGCAACGCAAGGCTAGCTAAGCTGGGAGATGGCTAACGACAGCCAAGCATTAACTGTCATTGGGAGCTGGCTGGCCAAACCCGCTAGCTGCTAACGTCAGGCAGCAGCCAGCAAAGTTTCTCTAAAAATGGCGGCGAAGGGAGAATCTCCTCCCTTCCACTGAAAAGGAAAGCGACTGATTCTTAAAAAACAGAGTCGAAGCAAAGAATTTAACCTGGTCGTGAGCGGATCGTGTTGCACTTTATGCGGGGACTAACTGCAGCGCTCTCCCTGGTCTCCCAGTTAAGGCGATGCTGTGACATCCAGCAGAGGCAAGCTGAGGTGTGCGGAGGGAGAGCCATACACATAATGACTTGTTAACACGATATTGGTTCCAGGGGCACTTATGATTGCAAAGGATAAATGAGTGTCTTTATTGTGTGTTTGGTTTTATGCACTTCCAGCCCCTCACTTAGACCCTAACCTGACTGTTTCAGTCTTAATCTGGCGTCTATAAATAGCCAATCGTCAACACCAATATTATATCATATGTTCTTCAGATCATATGTCTGTTTCCAAGCATCAGACTGTAAAAGATAAACAACAATAATAATGTATAAACTATAGCCTCATATGATTAAAATATGACTACCTCATTCAGGAATTGATAATAATATCCGTATTATGATGACGTGTGGTAAGATAGCTTGTGTGATGTTGCAAAATGTAAACAGCAGCTTAACCTCTGTCAGCTGAAATATATTGAATTTATTTATTTTTTTACCCTTTTGTACATCTAGAATGACGTTTTTAATGATACGGACTCATTTTGTCCAATCAGTAAAGAGTTTGAGGTATAATTTAATATTTTTCAGACGCATCACTGATTCATAACTTTGTGTTCGCTAAGCTACATTCCACAGCAGGGCGACATATATAGCTGTAATCTACGCTAAGAAAAGATAAAGAGGCGACGGCAACGTGCATGGCAGCAGTGAGGTTAAAGATGGACATTCCACAACAGGCTGCAGGCGGGCGGACCAATCAGCTTCCAGAAGAGGCTTAGCGGGGCTTCGATTGGTTGTCTGGCATCCCT